CTAAATAACTTCAATATAGAAATCTAAACAGTCAATATTAACCTTAAAAAAATATAAATATTATAAATTATTTTAGTCTAAATTACATATTATATATTTTATCATACAAAGTAACATGCAGTTCTATTACGGGAGGCTGATCATGATTATACCCATATATATAGATATGATATTTCTCAAACAAGCACCAACTAGCTAGCTAGTACTAACTAGCTATATGATACATACGTCTGGCATACACACACACACACACACACATATAGGTAAGTCGCCAAAATTAGTGAGGAAATCGAATTAGAAAGAAAGTGTCTGACGAGAGCTGCAATTTCAGAGTTGATCAGCCCAGAGAAATGCCCCCATAGCAAAAGCTCTCTTCTCAGGAAGAAGGGTATCCTTAGGAAGGACAAGGCCATATTCTTTAAGGAGCATATCCAGCTTCCACTCCTCCATCTTCTCATAATCATGCTTGGAATATCTAGGGTAGTGGAGTGGCATCTGGAAGCCATTAGGGTACGCATCTTCTCTACAACCTTTCTTGTCCGCCATCTCCATGGCCATAATTTTCTTTTTGAAGCTGCTCACGTCCTTTACTTCACTACTTGTAGGGCATGCCATTACCTCCTTCTGGGACATGTTGGCATCGTAGGATGACTGTCCAAAAACTTGAGTAAATGCTGAGCTTAGAACCCACTTGAGGGCCATGTTCTTTCTTTAGATGGGGAAGGGGAGAATTTTCTTTTCTTCTAGCTCAAAGCTTAAGATATAGGAGGATAAAAGTGGGTTCATGTATGTATATATATATATATAGGTAGGGCTAATCATGGGACAATTATTTGCCTTCATCAATATTTTATGGATATATTGTGAATTTACATATTTGGGTCTTTTATTTTTTCGGGTTATTTAAATTTGGTCCTCAAATTAAAATATTATTTATGAATTTAACATTTTTATTAATTAAATATAAATATTTAAATAAATTATAAATGCACAATTAACGTCTCATAATTTTAGGGAGTAAAAGAAGGGGCAATAAATAATTATTAAAACTTTCAACCATATTAAAATACAATTTGTTTTTTTACTCGTGTGAGATAATTAATTATTATATTAATTAATACAAATGTTTAAGGCTATTTATCATACTACATGTACCACAACAATTGAATTGATCATATGTTTTATTTTCTTCCATTTAATGTTGGTATAATTATAATTATAATTAAGAGAAAAAAAAAATTTAACTATTCCAATGTCACATGCATGCAATATTTATACTTATGTAGCGTGTACGTTGGGTTATTTGATAATTACGTAGCATTTATGAGATAACTAAAGTAAATATTTGATGTTGATAATGACTTAATTGATTAGAATGGCATGAAAAGAAATATTTAAGATAAAGTTTATAGCTTTAGAAATAGTTTAAATATTACTAGAAGACATTTATCTCATCCGGACTTAATATGCATGATATATCTACGTAGCTTATAATATGCATATATATGTATCTATATATATAAGTTATGTTTATTTTTATTTTATATTTGTAGAATCTAATACGATTTGAAGTTATTTTTATTTTATTTAAAAAAATTTTATAAATACGTAACAAAATTAATATGAAAACTGATTCAGAAGTAAGAGATATCTGTGACATACTATATAATAAAAATATTTATGTACATGGTTACTTTATATATATATGTATATGATGAATAAAACAAATAATTGAGAGAGAGAATTTGTCTCTCTCTCTCTCTCAATTATTGAGGGTGGGATGGTTTTAATGGTTATCGTCATATCAAGTCATTGAAGAAATTAGTTAGGGTTGTAAATTTTGGAGTGTAACGAAGATGTCAATGGTTTGTATTAAATGAAAAAAGAAAGAGTAGTTGTAAGTCTCTTTTGATGTTTGAGACTTGTAGCCTTTGAGCTTATGCAAATGAAGATATCAACCATTCATGTGATTTTCAACCTTCTAAGTGGTTCACTACATTTACTCTTTTGAGGATAACATAAAAGCTAAGCCACAAGCATTCATTTTCTTGTGTGAGATTTTGAAATTATAAAATATTCAATGTATCATCACTATTACATATATATACATTATATTATATATCTTTTTCATTAAGATTACATTTTTAAAAAACTTTAAAATTTATGCGGTATTCATTTATGCATTCTTAGTTATACTTTTCTAACGAAAATATAATCATTATCCAATATAAAATGAAAATAATTGAAGTTATGTAAAACGTTATATGGAATTGAAGCAATACATTTAAGTTCATCAAAGTTTCATATAGATCTTATGTTGCATTTGCTTTATATTTTATATTAATTCATATATCTTAGTTATTGGATATGTAAAAATTAGTTATAATGTACATATTTAATGCATAATGTAATCAACTTTACTAACTATTTATATTTATATATATCAAGTTAGAACGAATTATAAAAAATAATTAATTTAAATTAAATATAGAAGTGATTTAAAATTAAAATAATATTTTTGTTCAAAATTTTATTATATTTTTATTGTACTATTATATTTTTTTTTGTATTTTATGAAATTGGTCTGCAATTTGCAATTCAAGTAGTTAAACGAAATAAATTTGTATATAAAAATACCTAGTTGATATATAAATATATCATAACATTGTTTCTCCATTTATTCTAAACATATCATAACATTATGGTTAGAATAAATCTAAGTCTCTATTTGATATATAAAAATACTATTTAATTTTTATTTTTTGAATTTATATTTATTTATTTACAGAACTATATACACGAATTAATAATAAAGATAATGAAAAAGAAAATAATGATAGAATTTTTATTTGGAATTGAGATAAGACATTATAAATTCTAATAACTAATTTTGATATAATGTTAGAGATTTTAAAAAATTACGACCGTTACAATGGTTGCAAAAAGTTTTCATAAAGTTCTCATGTACTATTTCAGGTATATATATATTAACTATAAATTAATTAAAAAATATAAATTTTATAGAATAAAATCATAGTTTATTATTTTTTCTCTAAATTTTTCGTATTTTTCTTCTTTTTTCTCTTTAATATCTATCCTCTCCCTATATTTCTCTATTTCTCTCTCGCTCTCTCTCTCAATTTCTTTCTTACTCTAAAAACGAGTCTCCCTCTCTCTCTCTCTATCTCCTTTATTCTCTCCTCCATACATCCTTTCTTCTTTTTTTCTATTTTTTTTCTTCTATAAATTTCTAATTCTGTCTCACACTTCTTTAATTCTAAATTCTAATGAATCTTTTAAATTATTTTAAAATTATTCAAACTTTAATATTCTTTTTCAAATTATAAGTCTAATAAATCACATGTTAAAGTCGAGCTCTGACATATAATTTAGTTAATATATATTTTAGTACCACATAAAATTTTATGTGATATCAAATTTTGTCACCTTTTGATAGAATTTACATATGATCTCCTAATTAAATTAAGTGTAATTTACAAAATGATTTTTTCAAACATTTTATGTTAAACAATTGTAGATTTTTTTCAAATTTATATATTTATAAGTAAATTTCATAAATATTTATTTTAACCATAAATTACAAACAATTATCTGAAATATTTAGATAAATTAAAGTGATCAATTTCATCAAAATTATCTAAAATATTTTATAATATATTACCAAATAAGTTTCCGAAATTTAGCACTTTCTACGAATTAGTCCTCAATATATTTTTTTTTGTTATAATTTTATATCCCTTTTGTTCAAATTATAATAAGTATCAAACTTTGGGAGCTAATAAAATATTTTTCTAATGTAATAAATAAAATTTATTATTTTTGTAATTTTTTTATTTTTCCTGATTAAATTAATTTAAATTTTTATCAGATTTCCCAAACCTTATAGTCTGGGTTTGCTCGCCCCTCAAATACCCAATTTTTAAATTTGACCTAATTGTTAGATGGGGCCCAATTAATAATCAGTCACATTAGAGTGATTTCATTTTATGGCCCAAACACCGTCTTTGGACAGAAATTAGAGAAACGAAGCCGTTTTATATGTTTAGTGGGCTTAAACTAAACTAACCCCGGCTTACTCTGGCCTATTCCAGAACCAACCAACACCGACTCCCAAACACCCATCAATTACAGTGAAGAATTAGTAAACAGGTAATCAAAACCCCAAACCCCGAATATCTCTCTCTTTCCGTCACCATAAGCCGGAAAACCCTACTTAACCCCGAACTTCAAAACCCCGAAACGAGAAGAAGAAGAAAAGAAGTACAAAAAATGAATTCGACAATTCTTCGATCTCGCATAAGCTCGGGTTTATCAAAGATTAAATCTAACAACCCAAGGCTTTTCTCTGTGGAGGTGCCTCCTCTTGAATCATCACAGGCGCGGCCAATAATTGCCGTCGGCGAAGAGTTCGCTACCGATCCCAATTCATCATCAAAGAAACCGACCCCGGAAGGTGCGCCGCAGGTTTCGAAGCCGCTTAGGTTTCTCAAGTACGGTCTCATTGGCGCTCTCACGGGAGCTACAGCTGCTGCCGGATATGTCAGCTATGGTTCGTTTATTCTTCTTCTTCCTTTTTGCAGGACTGTTTTTGTATTGATTATTAGCTGGGAATGTAAGTTTTTCACATGAAAGTACTTTGGATGTTACTGTTAGCTAAAATTTTTCCTCGTTCTGTTATTGGTTTTTTGTGGCGGAATGATGACGCGATCATTCAAAATATTTTACAGTGTCGATGATGAAGTAAGAGAACATAATTTATTTTAAATGGTTTCTTTAAGTTTTCTTCATGTAAACAAATTGGAAGGAGTTGGGCTTTAGCTAGATCATGCAAGAGAAAATGATTTCAAATGCTTATCACTTTAGTTTAGCTTTTGATTTGTTGCTTTTGGAGTCTGAATTTGACTATCTTTCATAGAAAAGAGAGTGACGTATTATTGTTTGTAAACGGGTAATCTAGTGGCATCTGCTTCTGGTGTTTGCAATGGACTGCTTTAGTTGAATTATATGAGGAGGTGATGGCTTTGATTCATGTCATTGTTCTGTATTTCTTTGGCAGCTTATACCTTGGAGGAAGTTGATCAAAAGACTAAAGCTTTGCGTGAATCAGTAAACTATAAAGTTGGAGATGATTCATCAACTATGGATGTGAGTAGGGTTAAAGCATTGTGTTGAAG